CGTTTAGAAGTGTTTGGTCCGTGTTGCGTTCATATTTCATTCGAACCACACCAGAGTTCGTTTGGAACCGGACCAAGGACGCTAAAGATGGGTCTCGGTCCGGTTCCAAACGAACTCTGGTGCGGTTCGAACAAATGCTTGTTTGGTGCACACCAGGGTTAGGATGGCAGCGTTCACACTTACTCAAATGAACTGCACTAACAGATCAATCGCACCAGGGTTCGTTTTAATCTAACCAAACATGACAAGTGTGAACACACCCTAAGAGCGCATTTAAAACTGTCTGTATTTAAGTATATGGTTAAACAATGAACTCATGCAATGCCTAAAGAACTCATGCAATTAATAGCAAAAAATATATTTTCAGATTTATTTTAAATATTTCGAAAAAATTTCCAAAAATATATTGCTGACAATTCCAATCTTAAAATATGTTTTGCATAAATTCAAAATATATTTTGAAAAATATATCGGTACCTAAAACACCTATATAAATACAGCATATTATATATAAATTGTATATACTGTATGTATATATATATAATGATGTATTTATAGATTATTAATAAAACAAATGTATTAATTTTATTAATAAAACAATTATATAAATAAATAAATATTTATAAATATAATATTATATTGTTACTAATTTTTCCTCATATATAGTCACTATTATATAGAATCACTATTGCTCGTACTTGTAGGGTTACTAAACTGAACAAAGCTCTAATTATCAAACCTATCCTGCAGCAGACGTGAACGGTCCTTCATTATCATTTAGCTTTTAGGTTTACTTCTGCATGTGACCGGATTGCTGTGTTTTAGTCGCTGTACCTGGGACCAATTCTGAAGTTTGGCACAGAAGAACAGAAAAAGCAGTGGATTACGCCCTTCACCACGGGGGAGAAAGTGGGCTGTTTCGCTCTGAGTGAGCCAGGTAAACAAAGCTGCATTTTTTCAAGAGCTCTGTCTGCTTTCTAAACACAGGTGGATGGTTATACTCCTTCACACAACCATTAATTGTGGAGCCTTATATTGAAATGATTTCGTATATCACTAGATCCATAGAGTTGCCATGTTTACACTAACATCAATGAGAGCTTGCTTTCATCTTTGTATGATATGAAATATGAAATATTTTTGCTATAAAGGAAACGGCAGCGATGCAGGTGCTGCATCAACATTGGCACACCAGGAGGGAGATGAGTGGGTTCTGAACGGAACCAAAGCCTGGATAACCAACTGCTGGGACGCTTCCGCCACCGTCGTTTTTGCCACAACAGACAAAAGCCTAAAACACAAGGTTCAATGTGTGGTGAATCAACTGATTTGAAAAAGATTAATTATTGATATTTTTTTATTTCATAAAATTTGAAGAGCTGAAATTATTTGATTTGATTTTATGTATTCACAGAGCGAATATGGAATTTTCAAATAAGAAATACATTATACAATTATTTATTTGATATATTATTTTATTAAAAAATCAGGGAATTAGTGCATTCCTAGTGCCGATGCCTCATCCGGGGTTGTCTTTAGGGAAGAAAGAAGACAAACTGGGAATTCGAGCTTCATCGACTGCCAATATTATTCTGGAAGACTGCCGCATCCCACTCGGCAACATGCTGGGAGACCGAGGAATGGGCTTTAAGATTGCAATGGTATGATTTTAAAGGAGCTGTATGTTATTTTGTGACTGTACTTCTGTACTAAAGCATAAAAATAGCATAATATGTTTGCAGATATTTAGGAAACATGTTCACATGCTTCTTCAGCCAGTTATTCTAATTTGAAATGTGCATTTTGTGTCAGAATGCCTGTTTTTGTTTTGGTCTGTGTGATTCCGCCCACTGTCAGTTTACCCAAGAGTATTTCGGCACCCCTTGTTGCCAGTTGGCGGAAAACACAGCGTATTGCAGCCATAGAAGCCAGCAAATGAACTTGGTCAGAGATCACAGATTCTACCTGACTTAAAAAGCTTTGGCGTCCATCTAAAAACCTCTGTGACCAGAGGCATATTAAAATGCGGATAAATCAACTAATCAACTTACACAGAAAGGCTCGTCACGTTTTATTGTCAATTGCACTCGTTCTTTTTGCGTGTCCTCAATCTGGCAACCCGCTTGAGTGTCGAGTCTGAGGAGGAGGAATCAATATTACTCTGCACCTTTAACATGCTTTTCTCATGTCAGTGTAAATAAAAACATTGCATTTCAGTCAAGTTATAAAACTAAAGCTCTTTCCCATTTGCATTTTATTTACTTTGTTTACATGTGATCTAACGCAGTTGTTTTACGTCTAACAGCAAACTCTGGACAGCGGGCGGCTTGGTATCGCAGCACAGGCTCTTGGTATCGCTCAGGCAGCGCTGGACTGTGCAGCTGATTACGCTCATAAAAGAACAGCTTTCGGCGCTCCGATTGGGAAACTGCAGGCGATACAGGTGATACACTGACTATAACTCACTATAACTCTCCCTGTGTGACATTCAGAGGGAAAGTGGAAAGGTTTAGTGTTTTCATCTTTCATGATTCAGCTGCTGACGTTTCTCTATAAATGTCTCTTTCAGTTTAAACTAGCAGACATGGCCTTGGCCATAGAGAGCGCTCGACTTCTCACCTGGAGAGCTGCAATGCTGAGGGACGCAAAGAAACCTTTCACTAAGGTTAGTCTGTTTTCTCATACTTAACTATTGTTAAGTTTATGGTAAATGTGCTAATGGTTTATTTATACTTGTGGTTAGTGGTGCAATGGAAACACACCTTAGCAACTTAATATGCATCTCTAAGTAGTCCCTGCTCAAACTCTAGATGTATGTGTGTGTGTCTGTTTGTTCTGCAGGAAGCTGCTATGGCTAAACTGGGTGCATCTGAGGCTGCTACGTTTGTCTCTCACCAGGTAATCATCCAATGTTTTTAATAGTAGATCTTTTATTTCTAAAACAAGAAACCCATCATTCTGTAGATGCACTAACATGAGTATTTTGTTGAAATGTGAAGGCCATCCAGGTGCTGGGCGGTATGGGTTACGTCACAGACATGCCTGCTGAGAGACACTACCGTGACGCCCGAATCACAGAGATCTATGAAGGCACCAGCGAGATCCAGAGATTAGTCATCGCCAACAAGATTCTCAAAGAATATCAACAGTAGGAGAGCTGATGTTCATGTCAACTCGCTCGGTTACGACACTGATCGGGTCGGTCACAGATCTCAGGACTGTGATACTGTGACTGGCCACTGAAGATGTATTAATGGTCCTCTCTCAGAGATTGAGTGACACAAGACTGTTTGAAGTGCATTTTCTCATTTGTGCCACAGGAGTGCAGTAGATAGTCTGGATCGTTTGCCTTTGTATCATAAGAGGGCGCTTGACTGTAAGGACTAATTTTCACTGGGAATTTAAATGCATATCTGATTGTACATAATGAATTGTATGTATTTGTTATGCATTTTAAAATGAATAATGATATCAAGTTGTAAGATTATGATTTATTTAAAGTTGTTTTATTGTAACAGCTTATTGTAATTCTAAGATTCCTCTGCAGCAAATGTTCTGATGATATAATTAGGTTTTAATCTTGGTTAGAGGAAAATTGTTCATGGAACACAATTTAAGGATTTTTAAACTGCTTGCATGCACTGGTACAGGTTCCGTTTTTTTCTTTTGAGAGAGTATGATGCAAACTTAAATAATGCACTGCTGAAATTATGAACAATTTTAAGTGGGCTCCAACTGTCTTGAGATCACGAGTGAAAATGCTTCTGTTTTGTCTAATTTAATAAAAAATGCATGAACAGCATACAAATGTGTAAATGATTAGTTTGATTAGTGACCTAGAAAAAGAGCAGATTATAAAATATTTCTTATTCATTTTACATAATTATCATATTCTATCAATATCATATTTTTCAATATGTTTACAGGTTTAGGGGAAAACATTTTATGCATATGGTCCTAAAATTAAAATAATAACTTTATTTAACTTAAATAATCACTGTTTAATGCATTTGTTAGTGCATGTTCTTCCTGAGTTTGTGACCAGATTTGGCTTCAGTCCCACCTGCTGCTGGTCTCTAATCTATCGGCCACATCAGGGGAGAAGAGGTGCCATCATTTCTTGTGTGCCGTTTCTGTCATTATAGACTGTGTGAGCTTTTTCCGCAGGACTCAGAACTGGGTCAAAGTTCCAGTATTTCGGAGACCTGAAATGATGCCGATGAGGATAAAGGTCACGACTCTGACTTTTGTTGTCCTTGCTTTAACCATGCCTAAGATCATACATGGGTATGATTTTAGGCATAAAACAAAAATTGTAACCAGTGTAGGTTAAAGGAATGATTCCCCCCAAAATGAAAATTTGCTGCTAAACATGCAGCTTTTCACTTCACAAGATGTTGATGGACTGGAGTGGTGTGGATTATTGTGATGTTTTTATCAGCTGTTCGGACTCTCATTCTGACGGCACCCATTCACTGCAGAGGAGCCATTGGTGAGCAAGTGATGTAATGCTAAATTCCTCCAAATCTGTTCTGATGAACCATATTGGGCGACCTGAGGGTGAGTAAATTTTCAGCAAATTTTCATTTTTGGATGAATTCTTCCTTTAACCTGCCCAAAAAGCACACACACACAATAAAAATGTATTATTTATGTCGTTGCATTAGATTATTTAGAAAAAGATTGCAAAGGCACACCTTTCAAAGCAAAACATTTCACAAAAGGAAAACGATGCATTTTTATTATTATACTTTATATTTGTTTTTTAAGTATATTGTCAATATGTATTAGTAATTTAGGGAGCCGTTTAGTATATTTATTCAATTCAACTAAAAACAAGCAGGAAATGTTGGTTTATTTTAGAAAGAAATCAGTAATCCAAAACAAAACTGCTTTTTCTACAGTTCTTTTATTATTAAAGTGTACACTTCACGCATAAGAAACGTGCATCATTTATGCACCATCAAAATTATGCAACAGGACACATTATTACCAAAAAACTTTTTATTTATTACTTTGAATATGCCCAGATTTACTGAAAAAAAGGTTTCATACAACTATGTACAATCAGGAGATCATGTAAAGCTGCAGCAGAAAGGCAGAACAATAGGCATTATTCAGTGTCTTATTGAAGCACAGAGCGTGTCTAATTAGTGCACTCTCATAAAGCGGAACAAATACAAGAAATATAGACCCTCCCATCTCCCCCCCCTTAAGCCAGAGTGATTAAAATCAAATGCAAACAAATGAGCAGCTGACCCTAATATCATTAACTAAGACAGAAATACCCGTGTACATCTAATTGTTTATTACCATGACATACTGTTAAAGAAGCTAAAGACAGAAAAATACAATCGTACATAGTTTATACATACATACAGTCAAAGTTTATACATTCTGTCAATTGATTATCTGAATGTTTGCCAGGTTTGGTACAAGGCTGACTGCAGTGTGACAATATTTCATCTAAAGCTATTTGAAACTATTTTTTGTCATAATGACACGCACTTTTAATGAATATGCAATATTTGTACTTAAAAAAATAGTTTCTCACACTCGTTAAAAATTTTTTTACAGCACCTAAAAGTACGTTTTCATATAAATTTTAACATACTAGTCCATGGTTGAACAATGAGGCTCACACGTAGTTTCGTTTATCATAGTCCCCATTGACTGATGTGCTTTTTGTAGGTGGAGGTATATATTTTAGAGGATACAAGGTTTTCTCATCATGTGGACGAGAGAAACATAGAATCACTCCTCCGACCAGAAGCATGGCAGATGCTGCCCATCCGATGTAGAGCGCAGCTCCAATTTCTCTCTTCTTTGCATAAGGCACTTGAGGGTCATAGAAGTCTGAGATGATGTTATTGGCCATCCAGCACAGAGGCACCAACACAAACAAGCCTGCGATGATGTATATCACCCCTCCGACGTTGACTACTTTGGCTTTGATGGACTCTTTACTGATGCAGTTGGTGCACTGAGCGCCGGCGATGGTTATCATCAGAGCCTGGACACCCAGAACCGCTGAGATGACCGTCAGAGCCCGAGCAGTCTGGAGCGATACAAGTGTGTGTGTGTGTGTGTGTGTGTGTGTGAGAGAGAGAGAGAGAGAGAGAGAGAGAGAGAGAGGGAGAGCGCGCGCTTCCCTTTATATTTCCCCGTCTCTCTCTCAATCGCTTCAGTAGGCCTACATATTAACATAATATTTTCGTCTATTTAGTTACTTTTAAATACAATTATTTTTACAGTTATTACTTTTAAAAGTGAATGTTTTTCGGAGTTAATTAACCTTTTTTCAGCTGTTTATTGAAGTTCTGTTGCCATGATTGCCACTCAGTGGGCATTTGGCGAAGTGATATGCAACTGTAATGCGGTCCACAAATTGGAACTACTTCATAGTCGTCTTTAGGAAGCAACACTAACAACGCAAAGTAACCAACTATCTACACCTAGCAATCAGACAGAACTGCCTAGGAACGTCTAGTAACCAGCCAGAACCCACAAGCAAGCAGCTAGAACACACTAGCAGTATGCCAGAACTTCCTAGCAACCAACTAGACCATCTTAAAGGAACACTCCTCAATTTTTGAAAATAGGCTCATTTTCCAACTCCCCTAGAGTTAAACAGTTGAGTTT